AAGTTTTTTTTATATTAATTGAAAAGTTTTCAATTGATCATATTTTAATTTTTTTTATTTAAATAAATATTTTCTTTTAAAAAAAATTTTGATTTTATATTTAGAATTAACACGTGACTTAATAGCAGATGTATTTTTAATTGTTAGAGGGGGGCACCAAAATATTTTCAGTGCTTAGGGCCTCAAGAGGTCTTAATCCGGCCCTGTATTTGTGCCATACCCTACCGGTCAAAAGTTTGCTAAGACTTTGAAATCTACAAAGAAAAGGTCTTAATTCAAATGTTCATAGAACTGCGAAAAATCATTCAAATTGCATGAAAATTTGATATGTTCTGAAGTGAACCCTCTACAGTTAGTTACATATGATCAAATAGCAATACTTTGTTTTTTGTGAGCTTAATCCAGCTTTTCATCATGGGTTGTTTTTATGGTGAAAAAATTTGTTAAGTTTGAACACCTGCAAACAAAATTTTTCGTACATTCTGTTAATGGAAAATAGTTATTCGAACTGTTCTATGTAAGCCCTCAGAATTTAAAATCAATTTGATTTTTTTTGACGAAGTTAGAATTTTCAAGTACTTTTCTCGATTTTTGAGCATTCCACTTATGCAGTCTTTTGGTCTATACATCTTCTACCGAAGAAATTTTTTAATGTTTTCTATATTTTCAAAAATTTGATATTTATTATAAAACAGATATTCTTATTCATTATTGTAATTATTAGTGTTTATATTTATTGCTTATATGTATTAATTTTGTTGTGATATTTTTACTTTATACTAAATTAAAATAAAAAGTTATAACAATAATTACATGAATAATTCTAAAAAAATAATAATTGTATAAAAAATTATCATTTTCACTAAACTATTTAATTTACAACAGGTCAAATATTTAACATATTCTTATTCGTATTTAGTAATTAAATAAATTAACATTTAAATCTTAGATTCCTCGAACCATCCACCTTTTGCTTTTATTATAGCCTTACATATGCTTGGCATTCGTTCTAAGAAACCATTAATCACTTCAAGTGATATAGAGTTCTATTCCTGTTGTAAAATGTCCCATAACTGATTTCGATTTGAAATATCAGAGCATCGAATTTGTTGATCCAAATGATCCCATAAAAGTTCAATCGGGTTACAATCAGGACTCTGAGCTAGCCACGTCATAATTTTCAATCGGCCTTCGTTTTCTTTTTTTTTAAAAATAATTTTTGCATAATTTTGACGTGTGCTTTTATCATTGTCTTGCTGAAATAAAAAATTTGGACCGACAACTTTTTCACCCGAAGGAATAGCATGTCATTGCAAAAAGAATAGTACTTTTTTTGGTCCATTATTCCATCTATTTTAATTAATTCTCTTACAGTATCGTTTCCAAAACATCCCCATACCATTATGTCACCCCCTCCGCATTTAACCGTTGGTCGAATGCAATTTGGTTGCATTCGTTCTCCTTCACGGCGCCTTACAAACATGTGGCGTTTGGCCCCAAAAATGTCAAATTTTGATTCATCAGTCCATAGTACACTTTTCCAATCTGCGATTGACCAATGCTGATGTTTGCGAGCCCATTCTAATCGTAGTATTTTATTTTTGGGTCTAAGAAGAGGTTTCTTTGCTGCGACACGTCCAAATAAGCCAGCTTTACGCAAACGCCATTTTATTGTTGAAGTTGAAACTTTTTCTGAACCTGGAATTTATTTACACTTCAGTTGTGCAGATGTATCGAATCTATTTTTTAAACTTGTAACAATAATTTTTCGATCATCTCGATTTGATGTAAACTTTAGCCTTCCGGAACATGTACGATCAACGTAGAGTCCTGTTTCATTGAACTATTTAATTGTAGAATGAACGCATGCTAATGAAACGTTTTCTATGTTTATTTTTCTTTATTGGTACTAAGTTTTGTTAATAAGTTTATTTGCATCAGTGAGAAGGATGATATTGTTTTTGCTGTTATAAAAAAAATGCATGAAAGTTAAAAATCACAACTGGCTGTTGACACCACTAATTATTAACTGTTCACTCTGCAAAAAATAGCAAATAGGAAAATACGCAATTGTAAATTTTCATGGCTAGCTTTGTTTTAAAATAAAACTTTTTGAAAGTTTTGTTTGTTGCAAGATGTTTCGCATAAGAGCGTGTACCCCCTCTGAACTGCTCCCGTACCCCACTTTGGGAAACACTGCCTTAGCTCATCATTAGAAGGACTAGCTTCTTCGACGTCTTCCACATTCACCTCATCTAAACCGCTTTGTTTTGCTAATTTACAATATTTCATCCATATCGACAGAGTGTCCAATGTCTTCGCTTTGCTGCAAGTAATAAGCCTTAAATTTGGATATAACGTCTTGGTCCATTGGTTGGATTAAGGCAGTTGTGTTCGACGGCAAAAAACCCACTTCGACTGGAATGCATGTTGTTAAGTCTGATAAATTTGTTGGGTGGCTTGGAGCATTATCAATTAATAATAGTTCTCTTTGTTCAAGTTTTTTAATTTCGCAATAACGTTTAACAGATGGGCAGAAATGTTCAGTGAACCAATCCTGGAAAATTGTCATAGTTATCCATGATTTTTTATTAGACTCCGGAATTACAGGTAAAGTTGATTTAGATATGCCTTTCATCACTCTTGGGGTTTTTGGAGTGGTTCGTTTTGGCATTCTTTTCCAAAACAGGCCTGTTTCATCAACATTAAAAACCAATTCTGGAGGATAGTTTCCTTGTTCAATAATTGTTTTTAATGTCGCTGGGAATTCAGCCGCCGCTTTCGTATTACCACTTGCTGCTTCTCCTGTAATCTTTATGTTGTGAAGATTATTTTGATGTTTAAATCTATTAAACTATCCTCGACTAGCAACGAAAGTTTCACTTGCTTCAACCTGAATGCAATTAAAAATTCTTCTAGCTTTTTCCATTATGATAGATTAGCTTAATGGCATATTGTGTTCAATTTCATGGTCAATCAATATAGACAGTCGTTTTTCCATTTCCTCTATAATGTTATTTCTAGAACGGGTAATTCTAGTTGCAGAGCTTGACATAGTTGCTGTTGCTGATGACAGTATTTTTTCTTTATTCTTAAGAATTGTCCTTATTGTTGAAGTTGCCAAATTCAATGCAGCACTTATTTGAGATGGACGTTCACCAGAATCTAATCTTCTAATCACTTGCATTTTAGTTTCCAGTGAAATACTTTTTCTAGTTGCTTTCTTTTCTTGTTTTTCATTATCACCTGTGATAAAAACTAAAGATCATAATATTTGTCATTGTATTAATCGTTATAGTGTTATATAAATTTATATGTACTTACAATAATGTCAACAAATGTTTCAAATGATAAGAATACTTCCGTACAGCACCGCACCAAACAAGAAGCACAACTACACTGTTTCGGATATGTTATGTACATATTTGGGGAATCCCCAGGTTGAAATAAAAGAGCACTAAACCGAAACAGCTCTAAATGAAACAGCGTTAAGCGGATCTTACTGTATTGCAATTTGAACATATGTAACTAACTGTAGAGGGTTCACTTTAGAACATATCAAATTTTCATGCAATTTGAATGATTTTTCGCAGTTCTATGAACATTTGAATTTAGACCTTTTCTTTGTTGATTTTAAAATTTTCCCAAACTTTTGACCGGTAGTGTATATAATTAATTATATTTGCAGTGTTCATCCTAGAAGACCTTAAAAAGTGGAGGGTTCTAGAAACTGCAAGAACACTGTTTCCCCCTAAAAAAGGGTACTTATTACCAGGGCTAAAGAGAATAGAAGGGCTGGTTCACTCCTTTGAAGTATCTCTTGCCGCGCNACTTATTACAAAAAAAAGGCATTGTTCAGAAATATTTGCATAGCTTTTAGGACACCCAAAAAAATACACGAAGTTCTTAATTTTGTCATTTAAAAAAATATTAATATTTTTTAAAGAGAATTAGTTTAAATTAAAATAATTCCTGTGTTAAATTCACATATTCTATAAATTGATTTTATAATGGATTTTGAATTCTGGAATTTTGAAAATGTTGTGAGTTGTAATAATGACTTCACTGAACATAAAAATATGAGATTTAAAAAACGATGTCAACATGAATGAAAAAACTGTAACTAATCGTAATAACTGCCGAAAAAGCGATTGAAAATTCATGTGGATTTACGATTGATTCGTTGCTAATCAAGCGTGTGAAAAAGTGATTACTAAAATATGAAATTAGCTAGCAGGGGTCTGTCTAGGTTTTTCTGAGAGGTACCTATTTTGTGAAAATTTAGACATAATTTGTGAAAATTAAAAAATTATATTCAAAAATCAACACAAAAATAAAACTTTAGGAAAAAGTATTTTGTGAAACTACCGTTTTTCCTAAAATTGAATTTGTGAAGGTACCGCTAAACGGTAGTAAATTTGGCTTTTACAGACCCCTGGCTAGTTATAACAGTTTATTAATTGCATCAGAATTGAAAAAGCCTTGAGAAAACAGTAAAAAAAAAAACAACAAACAGCTGCTGATAAAATTATTCATAAATGATATGGATTTATGATAGAAACGATCTGAAAAGAAGCACCCTCAAACCCTAGAATGAACCCTGATACTTGTCTCAATTATATGTAGCAGCAAATTATTTCCTATTTAACCTTTATCAGCTAAGAAGCTTAGAATTACAATTTTTAGATAATTTTCTTTTGTTTTATGTATAGTTTTTAATAGATAAGAATATTAATATCTGAAATAATGGGAAGAAATTATGAGAAATTTAATGCATGGTCTCTTCCGTTAGATCATGTCTTTCTATTAACTTTCAATGTTTTCATAGAAACTAGTTAATCGGAATTCTGTCTGGGGACAACAAAATGTGTGGAGAATTTTATATGGTATTAATTTCTGTAAAATATTAAAAGCTCTCAATATTAAATTATTCATTTTAAGTTTCTAACCAATTTTCTTTAATTTTGCTACTGAATTATAATTTTTTTTCTTCTTTCTAGGTAAGATATAAAGATGCTGTGGTTGATCAAGGCAATGAGTTGACTCCTACTCAAGTTAAAGATCCTCCTACTCATATCAATTATCCTGTAGTGGCAAATTCATTGTATACCTTATGTATGACAGGTAAATAGAACAATGCTGTTTTATTAGTTGCGTGTAGTGTAATTACTAAACATATTCCACAAGAGTAAATAAAGTAGAGCGTAAATTTACACTAAAAGACAGAAGGGCCCATGTGGTCCTACTTATCCTTCGTTGTTCAGCAGACACAAACATAGTTTGCAGAAAATTTATCACAATTGTGGAAAACTTTTTACCATTAGTAAAAAGGGGAGAGAAAAAAATCTGCCTCTTCAAAGAAATTGTTTTTTTCTTTTTTTTTTCCCTTCGAATTTCCGAGATGAAAAAGAAAAGATGAATTTTTAAGCTCTTTCCTGCCGATGAAAACCTAATTTAAAATTGTACATTGCGATTTCTATTTGTTGGAAATAGTGTGACTAATCAGTCGAATCTTCCCTTGTATTATGCCTTTTTCATAACTCACCATAATGTAAAATTAAAGTTCAGCGTTGTTACCTTTCTAGAGAAATAACATACCTTTTGTATAAATCTTTAAATATTTATTTTAAGAAGAGAATGTATACCACTATACTTTTTACTGTTTCTTTATTTTAATGATATGCACAACGCCCGGGATATTACGAATCAGCTCATGGCTACTCTAAGGCTTGCTAAGGGGATATTTATTTTACGGTATCTCCTCTCCTTATCTTTTCAGTGGCTAGAAATTTCTCCTGCCGTGAATACAATATATTGAAGTTTCATTTAACTTTAAGGCGCATGTGTCATGTCCGTGGTATTCGCGATATCAGATAATAAGTATCCACTTTATAAACGTTATATCAACCCACCACGATATACTTAGTTGCAGATTATGGTTTCATTTTGAGGCTAGCGTGCTTCTGAATTTAAAAATATCTGGGATTGTTGATCAAGGTATGTATATATTGTGATTTCAATAAATATTTTATATATAAATAAATAAAATACATAATAATGCAATTTCGTTTCTATAGATGTGTGGCGTAACTACCGCTCTGAATATTAAATACCAATTCACTAGTATATAAGACATGCTAACTTGATTCTATCTTGAGGTACCTTTTGATAGATGAAGGTTGACATAGTCTGAGATTAAATTCCCTCATTGGCAGGGTTGGGTTTTTGCCGTCAAAAACTGGTATTTGACATGACAGTGGTAAAAACCATGTTTTTACTGGTAAAAACCGTCAAAAACCTACTGTTTTCTTTAATTTATAGCATATAGCGGACAATATATTATTTTCACTTAATTGCCTTTATAAATGAATGTTGTAAATGATTGCTATTGATTTTGCAACTATATACACGTATTCTTATAGAAGGATATACATTCATACAGAAATATTGTAACATACTTATTGAAAATAGTGATACTTAACTTTTATCATTATAGCTTGATTTGCAAAAGATTCTAAATTTTGCACTTCTTAATTGTTTGAAATAAACAAACAAAAAAACTTGGAACTATTAATAAATTCAAGAATTTAAAATTTGGCATTTCTTAAATAGTCTAATAATTCTTAAATATTCTAAGCTAAACAGAACTTTCAAAATTTGTAACTACAGTAGAGAACCGATTATCCGGAACGATCGGGACTATCGCTATTCCGGATAACTGATTTTTCCGGTTTTCTGATCGCTACAAAAAGCCGTTTTTTTAGTGTTAAACCTAGCTAAAAAAAAATATTTGGAAATAATCTTTAAAATAAGAAAAAACGATGAGGTAATACACTAATGATTATTTCTGAAATGATGGTAAGGTAAACATCTTTCAAAAAAGAAAGAAAAATCGTAAAATCTTATGAGGAGAAAAAAATTTTTTTTTAAAAATTGTGGAAAAATTTATCGAATTTCGTTCCGGTTTTTTGGTTTTCCGGTTTTCTGATTTCCGGATAACGGGTTCTGTACTGTACTAACAAACTCAGGAATGACTTGACAATCTGTTTTTAAATCCGTTCTTCCGTATGTTCTTAAAAATCTGTTCTTAAATATCTTTTAACAAATTTTTTTCTAATTTTATTGCCCAAAAATGAATTAATTTTAAATCATGAGCAGTTAAACTCAAATTAAAATACAGTTTTATCAAAACTATGGGTTTTTGACAGTTTCTGACGTTTTTGACAGAGGGGTTTTTGACATGACGGTAAAAACCATGGTATAAACCGGTAAAAACCGTCATGTGTCAAAAACTTGCCAACCCTGCTCATTGGTGACCTGGACGATGTTTTGCGGAATTTTGTAAATTTCTGCAATTTTAATACAAAAATTATTGTTTTTCTTATTTGTCTTGTATTAAATTAAAATAATCTTATTTTTTTTATTTATTGTTAAAAAGAAAAAATGCTTTCGATTAGAAAAAATGGGGAAAATTTCCGAATCGTGATTTGTGGCAGAATAATAAGTCTTGTCAACTTCTAGGCAGCAGACTTCGAGACATCAAAATGGATGCGAGAAACTTAAACAGAAGATGACCAACTTGAAAGATTAGCCATCACCGGGCAAGACCTTTTGTTTATATATTTTTTTTTCAATTTGCATGATTAAAATCCATTTTGCACCTTGGCGATTGTAGTAGGCGTGTCAGATCACGATGCGAAAATATCCTCCCAAAATGCATTTCTGTGCTTCGTAGGGCGCTGGGCCCATATCCAAGAGGTCGTGGGTTCGATCCTCGCCGGCCGAAGACTCCCCGTGTAGTAAATGGTGACTGATGCACGTTAAATCTGCCGAGTCTCAAAGTCCCCCATGTTCCCATAACAAATCAATACCTCTGGGGGTACTGATCCAGGAGTTTCCTTGTCTTCTGGATTGGTTCAAAATTACAAGGCTACGGAGTTGAACATTAGTAGTCGTTAACCCACGAAATTGGGTCGGCTGTTCAACGACGGTTATAAAGTAAAATATAATTTAAAGCGATTGAAATTTGTTTAATTTTTATCGATTTTTTGAAGAAATCTAGAAAATGGCGTAAGTTTATTTAAAACAATGTTAAAATGGTAATATTTTTGTATTTAAATTTAAAATAGCCTACATTTAAAAATAATGCTTGAATTTTACCAATTTTAAAAGATCTCCTGGAATTTTAGAAAATCAAATGCATCTCTATCGATGTTTTGCGGGGAACTCATAGAATTCCACAATTTTGAGTCTAAAAGAAATATTTAGATAATATTTTAGTATTTAAAATTGCACTTTTAAACAAATTGCCATGATTTTAGCGATTGAAATTCTTTTTTTTATTGATATTTTGAAGAATTCTAGAAAATGCTGCAATTTTATTTAAAACTAGGAGGCTCCGCTCCCTGTTCGCTAATGCTCGCCAACCCCCGAGAATTGCTACGCAATCCTATGTGGTTCGCGCCTACACTTGCTTCTTTTCACGTGGCTTGGCATATTGCAAGACAAAAGAAACCTCATAATATTGCTGAAAAACTTATAAAACCTGCTGCCATTGACATGGCACGTATCATGTGCGGAGATGAAAGTTCAAAGAAATTACAAAAGATACCATTATCAAATGATACAATTCGTTTACGAATTAATGATGTGTCATTTGATATTAAGAATCAACTTATTTCTGCTATAAAAATTGCTGGTTTATTTAGTATTCAACTGGATGAAACGACAGATGTAAGTAAAGATGCTCAACTCATGGTTTACATGCGGTATCCAGGTTTAACAGATATACAGGAGGACATTTTATTTTGCAAGCCAATGTCAACAACAACTAGAGGTGAAGATATTTTTCTTATGGTCGATTCGTTTATTAAAGAAGAAGGATTAAATTGGAATCAGTGTTTCAGTATTTGAACCGACAGTGCAGCTGCCATGACAGCATCTCAAAAGGGATTTTCGACAAGAGCAAAACAAATGAATCCACAAATTATATCGATTCATTGTTTGTTACATAGACAATATCTTGCTTCAAAAAAATTATCACCCGAATAATGTATCGTTTTGGATGAAATTGTTGCGGTAGTCAATTTTATCAAATCAAGAGCTCTTAACTGTAGAATTTTCCGCGAACTGTGTTTCGAATCTGGTGCAGAATACGAACATTTATTATATTATTCTGAAGTTAGATGGCTGTCCCGGGGCAAAGTTGTTCAAAGAGTATTATCATTAC